AAAACTATTTAAATTCTAATTCTTTAAGAATTCATACACAGAAATACAGATCAAACAGAATGCAACATTCTAAAATAGCTCGGAAATGTACTGTGGTATTCAGAGAAGAAAACGCCCCTAATGTTAACAACATCGCTGATCTTTCAATCCTGCGCCCACAATGCATCACGTCTACAATTCTAACCTTTAAATTAAAACATGAGTTCTATTTTTATGTACCCTGGTAAACGTGATCTTAACTAGCTCACCCATTCACGTGATCAATATTGCTATGATTTTGCAACACATGGAATTCTGTTTGATCACCTCACCCAGTCGCACGATCGTCTGATCATAATTGAATGATTTGTATTGCCGAAAACAGAAAGGATCTAAACTCAGATAGTTACCAATAAAATTTAGCTGTACGTTTCTCTTGATCGGGCTAGTTCAGAAGAAGGTGTCAAGAAAGACCTGTGTGTGCGTGTGTGTAACTTGAGAGTATATGATTTTAACGTGTGACTAGTTTGAAATACAACCTGTCTTCTCACTCACTAGTTGATTGTTGACAACTGCCGGGAACGTTCCGCTGATTTTCTAGACTGTTTGATCCACGTTTCACGGCGAAACTTTGCCGATAAAAAACTTCTCCAAAGTCACCACAACACGACCAGAATAATCAGTGGAAAGAGCGCAAAAAGCGTAATGTTACTATTCTGCCCTAAGCAGTTACAGAACAATGCCAGACACTTCCTCTAGTTATAGCAATAAAAAGTGAACACTTGTTGGCTGCAAACATCACCGAGAACAAAAAGCCTTGCTGGTAGACTGAAGTACGGAGCGATTGCCGCGGTGTTTGTGCACGTGAAAGTGTCAGGAATGAGACCAAACTTCAGAAGATCTATTATCGAGCGAAGGTGAACTCAACTAATGTGCATGCGCGCACCACAGATGATCCAGTATGGGTTTCTATCTCTCGTAGTAACTTTCCACCATAGATGACCACTTTCCAAACTTTGCACAACATGATTAATCCCTGTGATTTGGGGAAGAACCTATGCTGGTTCTGTGGACCGGGGTTCACATCACTAAACGGAAACTGTTATGCGATCTGTGCACCCACTTCACCGTACCTATATTCTTCTCACCTCCTATTGGCTATAAATATAAAGAACACATTATCAAACTGGTCGAGTCTTCAGTGAAATCTCCCGAAATTATCCACATTAATAAATTTACCGAAATTGTGAAACTCACTTGCACGAATCGGTTTTGTGCGGTTTGAAACGAAGCTCTAGCTACATCGAGTTTTGCGGTTGCATCCAGGTTAGGTTCGATTCTCGAACGAGTTGACGAATTACGAGTTACGTGTCGTATCCGTTCTCATTTCATTTAAGGTCACTAGCTAGAGCGTTTGTTTGTGCAGATTCTTGACCCATATACAACGCACTCTCATCCGCAGTTATTCTCGAAAAATGTATCATTTTTTTGACAATACAATGGAACAAATTTGCGCAATCTATCCCACCCAGTCAGGTCTTATTGCGCAGTTACTGACTATGAAATCCGTGCAATACATTGGAATGGGTGTACGCCTAAAACTCGATCAGCTAATCGGCGAACCGATTGAATTTGTCATCCCATCAACAGCATCATTTGCGCATCCCATCATTGTCTCTCGTTCGAAAATCTATCCCCTTCCAATCTGGTGATTAAATTCAATGCATCTTTCAACCGGCCTGATCTCTCTCTCTCGCGCGCGCTCTCTCTCTCGCTCTCTCTCTCTCTCGTGAATCACCAGTTCCTTATTGAGATACGGGAAGCTAAAAACGCATTAGCGATGTCAGAATCGTGTGTCAACATTTACATAATAATAGCAAGCTTCCATTCGAGACCCTAAAATTCCTTTTCATCATAAGCAAAAAATGTTTCAGTGTAGAATTTCTCTTTTAAGCAACTATGATCTACACGTTGAGTATTATGGATAGATACGTTGCCATTTGAGTCACACTTAGGAATCTGATCATCCCAAAATCATCAGTGGTCTGGGAAACAGAATAGCAGCATGGTCTCTTATATGAAAATCTGCTGCTGAAAGTAGTAGCAACCTTGATCACGAAGGCGAATATACAGCAAACAATTGGTAAAGTTCTAATTCTGTTTATATAATCGAATACACCAGGGTAGTATGGGACATCTTTAGACGGTTAACTTCAACACCAGCTTTATGGTGTGGGTGTGTAACGTTCTGAAAATCTATTAAGATCACGATTTTTAGCATCACGATTTCTTACAAGCATTCGACATAGTGTGATAGTTCGAACTCTTCAGTGTTCAATGTCAAATTCAAATTAACAGTTTTATTATAGGAACTACTTACAAATTGGTTGCTTTTCTCGTCTCATTGGGCTTTTCACACAAAGGGATTGATTTACGGTTAACCACAGAAAGTGATATTCGTCAGGGTTGCCCCCTATCGCCTTTCTTATTTAAATTTATCGCAGATCTGATTATGGAAACAGCCCTATCCTCGTGCAGGGATAGCGGTATCGATTTACTCCTAGGTGGTAGGCTGTCTGATCTTGAGTATGTAGACGACATTGTGCTACTGAGCGAAGATCCATGTGAGTTGCAAGCTTTCCTAAATAGTTTTAGTGCTAGTGTAGCTATGTTCAGTATGCGTTTTGCACCTTCAAAGTGTAAAGTGCTACAAGCCTGGCTTGGTCCAGCCCCCAACCTCATTCTAACTGAGGAAGTAGACAAATTTTGCTATCTGGGCAGCTATATCTCACCCAATGGACGCATCACGGATGAAGTGTCTGCTCGCATACAGAAGGCTCGGTTGGAATTTGCTAACTTGAGACATTTGTGGTGCCGTCGCGATATCTGGCTGTCTGTGAAGGGCCGAGTGTATGCTGCAGCAGTTTGGACAGTTCTGCTAAATGGAGCAGAAAGTTGGCTGTTAAGGAAACAGGATAAAGATAGACTTGCGGTGTTTGAATACCGCTGTCTACGCAGCATTGCCCCAGTCTGGTGCGGCAGCCAGACCGGTAATGCTGAGGTCAGGAGCGAAGATTCAGACAACCGCCGTCGCCCACTGGAGCCATTGGTCGATCTCCATAGATAGTGGGTGGAAGAAAGCCAAGGGTGGTCAAGCTAAGATCTGAAGTGAGCGTGTGAAAACGATAACCAGAAATCTGGGTCACATAGTTCCATTGGGCTCCCTGGACGGGGATCTCGGGATGATCGTAACCGATGGTTAGACACACTGATTGATATGGCTGAGTGTCGTAAACAGTGACGTTCGTGCATCTTGTCAATTTTCTCTGCATCATTAGTGCACTGGAATGCAAACTTTTCTCTTCCATCCTACTTTCCGGCTTCCTGTTTTCTTTCTATTGTTCATGGAAATGAGCAGCCGAAAGATAGCAACCAGAAGTGTCTCACGGAAGAGCATGCCTAATGGTTACTTAAACTGAAACTGAAAAAGGTTTATTGTTTTGTGCAGTGCGACCGATGTCGTAATCGGAGACTGTTCAAAGTTTCATTCCATTTGTGCTTGAAAGAACCAATTAGGGCACAGAAATAACGTGAGGTGATAGGGAATTCCAAATACTACTCTGAGGGCAAAGGGTGACGTCGGCGTTCTAGTCGACAGTTTTCGAGCACTAATTTGAGTGAGTGCCCCTTGATTTCAGTGTTTGGGGACAAGGCGAACAGTGAACAACATGGGTATTTGATATGTCAAAATCAAGTCCCCTCGAATTCGGCGACACTGTGTGGGGTAAAACCTCAGTGACCATTTCAGTGGTCATTCTTAGTGGACGTTTTAGAACCTTACGATCACTTAATTGGCATACTCTATATGGGGTTGAAAGCAGGCTAATAGCAAACTCGGGAACAGTATAAATTTGAATTTACCAAATACTCGCTTGAGAAAACCAGTATGTCTTACAGCGGTGAACGACCACTTGGAACAGTTTAAAAGGCAACTTAGGTCATCTTGAACAATGAAAACGAGACCCTTCTCATTCGAGGCATATGGAAGCTGCCGCTATCGCAGCAAGTACGGAAACCGAGTTTTTCAGTGAAGGGATACGACCGTACTTTTTTATGCATTAAATTTGATCTCATTTTCAATTGATCATTGATAAGCAGCATCAGATTTTCTCGGAAGTTCTAGTAAGGCCTAAGGTTTTGTCACTATTTTCTATATTTTTGCATCGTCTGTAAACACTGTTTCCGGCTCCCAGAACGTCCCTTAGATCGTTTATGAAAACTATAAAAAGTTCAGGATCAAGCTCGGATCCCGGTGTAACTCCTCGGACTATGCTGAAAGGGTCAGATAGCCACTCAGAAACCCATTCTCAGGAGACAGATACTGAAAAGCTTCTGATTTTAAAATCTGAAATAAAATTGGACTAAAGTACTGTGGGTTATTTGTCCTGGTACTTGTTAACCAGCTAAGGAAACCACTTGTTTTATTTTGCGGTCTTTTGTGTCTGTTGGACCTTTCAAGTTCCAAGTGATTATGTTTATCTCTTATTTAATTAATTAACAACAACCGAGGTGAAACGTCCCAGATAAGAATAGTTTGATCGGAACAGTAATGCCTGCTTTGGCCACAACATGAACAATTCATTGGGAATTTCGTTGACTTTCATGATGAAGCCAAAACTGTATACTGATTTATGTTTCGACGTATTATGTTACCTGTTCTATGCTGAACGATCAAACCTAAAAATATCAAAAGTGTCGAACGATGAGACGATCTAACTGAATATTGATCCTTCCACCTCCACTCTTCATATTCCTATTATACGCCTGATCCCCTCCCCCGTCCCGTCCCGTCGATCTTTCTTCACTCACAGAAACCAACCAACGATCCGATACTGGGAATTGTACAAAAACCACGGGGTGTTTGTGATGGAAACTATTCCGAGTTTTCACAAGATTTGATTGTTTTGATCAAAACATGTGTCGACTGCGCCCAGCAACGTCAAAAGGCGAGAGAAACGTACATGAGACGGGAACTATGGGCTCCATTCAAAGTTCAGTTTGTATTCGTCGTCGGACTACCGGGAACCAATATGTCCGAATGGTTACAGTTTGACGGTGTGCGAGTACGCAATCCGACAAAGCGGTTTGATGACTCAAATGCGGTTCTCAAAGCGCTTCTAAATGAGTCGGACCACAACGGGGACATGCTCATAGGGGACTTTATTGACTCGTACTACAATTTGACCCTCAAACAGGTGACCACATTTCGCTGGGTTTCCGCATTTTGCAAACACACCTCAGCATTATATTTCTTTATTGATAATGACTACTCAATTATACCAAGTAATACGATCAAAATGGTGCTATCTATTCCACCAAACCTGAGACTACGTTTGAACGGAGGCACATTCGGACCGATGCGTACGGTTCTAAGGCCGGAAAATCCTAATCAAGCCGGTCGATGGACAATATCCACAAGTGAGATTCCATGGATTACGTATCCTCAATATTCTTCCGGAGCAGCCTACGTGGTTGGTGCCTCTTTGGTAACAGATGCTGCAATCGCCATGGCCTATACTCGGTTCTTACGCTTTGACGACGTGTATTTGGGCTTTGTATGGAACAAACTACACATCCCAGTTATGATAATACAGGGAATGCGACACACGGCAATCAACTCGCCGGAAGCAACAAGTGTGATCAGTATCCCTGCTCAAGAAGCGGATCAGCTGATCGACTGGACAACCGGATTGTTTCGGA